AACGAATGTGCCCTGCGCGAAGGCGAGAGTGACATTTTGAAAACGACCCGCCCTCCATGTGTGAAGTGGCTGTCTTTTTTTCACATCAGAGTCACACGTGGTGAGGAGGTCTCAGGCGAAACGCCCGGCCCGCTCATCCGACCCGCCTCGGAGTGAGGCAGTGAGGAGGTATCTATATGAAACAGGAATGGGGAAGAAGGAAGAGGAGGAGGAGGAACGGCAGAGGGAGAAGGGAAGTGGGGTGGAGGCACGCGGCCACTCTGCGCAGAGACATAAGCACGCGGAGGCTGCGGGAAGTTCAGAGGGGATCGGGAAAATCGGGTGGCCGGAGGTGACGTGTGCGCCGGACAAGATGGCAGCCGAATTCCGAGTTTTGTGACTAGCCCAAGAGTGGGAGGGCAACGCTCCTGCTGCCATCCACGAACCGACCCCCGACCGCGGACAGTCGCCGCGCGCCGAAGGCGCCCCAGCCCCTGGCACGGATCGCATGCGCAGCGAGGTTCCTCTCCCCCCTCAGGGGCAACGATAGAGGAGGATAGGCATAGGGGGGGATGCATCGACCCGAATCGCCTGAGAGCCCCAACCCGCCCAGGAAAGGTGCGGATTCACTATCGCGGGCCTATCGCCGATCTATGGGCGATGCATCGCCGATTCCAGGTCGATGCATGCCCCCCTATGCCAGTCCCCCTCAATCGTTGCCCCCCCCCGCCCATCGGAGGAGGAGGAGGAGGAGGAGGAGGAGGGAGGAGGAGGCGAGAGGAGGGAGGAGGGAGGTGGTGGTGGTGGTGCACGTTGGCTTAAGCGTTACAGCTGTGCTCATGCTACCTCGGAAACAATACAGGACAAACAATAAAACAGGGAGCATCAAAACTTGAATTCAAGCTGACCTCGCCACGGCGCAATGCGCTGTAAACGCCGTTCCCGTGCGATGGCACGATTGGCAGCAATACGCGCCAATTGCTCCTCGGAGAGGGTGGGAGGCGAAGGAGGAGGGGGAACCACAGACAGGTGTGGGCGGGACTCCTCGGCGCGCTGGGCGGCGCCGGCAGCCATCTGCCTGGCCTGCTCCGCGGGCGCTGCGGGCGCAGTCCCGCTCTCTATCGGGAAATGGCCAAAAAGCGCTCCCGCGGCCTCTTCTTCGGCCTCGTGGGGATCCCAAGGGGCCTCCGCAGGATCGTCGAGCGAAGGAGGGGGCGACGGCGGCGGCGGCGAAGACGAAGGCGGAGGCGGCGGCGGAGAGGGGGGAGGAGGATGGCCTCTGGAAAAAACTTCCCACCTCTCAGGCTCATCAGATCTCGTGGCCGATGTACGGCATGCGTAATCGGGGGCAACCTCGTGAGGCCTGATCGGGTCCCATGGGACGTGTAGCTGTTGAAGTTGGTAGCGGAGCTCCTCTGATTCACCATCGTCGTCACACGGCTGCGTCTCGTCATAAATACGCGTGCACGCGTCCACTATGCCCTTCGCAAGCGCACGACACATGTTGCCTGGATATGTCTTTTTCTGTGCCGTGCGGAACACCCCATCGTCGGTTTTCCCCTGGAGGACCAAGTGGGAATCCGGAGGGTGGGGACACCTCCCCTGCAGTGCTGCGTAGATGGATGGCATGCGTATGGCAAGTACCCGTGTCGGTGCCCTCCCAAACGTGCTGGGGTCGCCCTCTCTGAAACAGCTTTGGTCGAAGTCCACTGTGGTAGAGCATGGCGCTGAAGCGATAGCGCGCGCTGGCGGCCACATGAAGGAGGTAGGAGCGCCATTTCTCCAGACAGCCGGCGTGGGATGCTCCATCCATGCTGCCGTACCCGCTCTAAGATGGGCTCCCATGAGGTGTAGCATAGCATGTAATAGCTGGCTCCCGACACATAGTTGCTGATGCTGCCGAGGTGTCGCCCATGGCACGCCCCACATGTAGTCAGTCGTCCGAAGTGGGGGGGGGGCCCCCTCCAACCATCGAGCTGCACTCCATGTCTCGCATGGAGGGCCCCCCCCAGAGCACCGCACTCTCCTAGCGAGTATGTGGTCGACCCACTGTTGGATCGTTTCAGCCCGGGCCAGATCGCCACGAATGGCGTGGATTGCGATGTCCACACTTAGCACCACAAACTCAAAGCCCGCGGAAACCAAAGTATCCTCGATCCCGGGAGGATGGAGGAGGGAGGAGGGAGGAGGGAGGAGGGAGGAGGGAGGGGGAGGAGGGAGGAGGGGAGGTGGAGGAGGAGGAGGAGGGAAGAGGGAGGGGGGAGGGAGGAGGGAGGAGGAGGAGGAGGAGGAGGAGGAGGAGGAGGAGGGAGGAGGAGGGAGGAGGAGAAGGAGGAGCTGGAGGAGGAGGAGGGCCAGGGGCCCACTAGAGCGCCTACCGCTCGCGCCGCCGCAAGCTGCTGGTCATGACCCGCTGGGTGGGCGCTGGGCTTCCTGCTGGGCTCTGGGCCCTGCACCGGGCCGCCCACACTCGCTCGCTTGGTGGACGACGACCAATTGAGTGGAGGGTTTCTCCGAAGGGCTTCGGCGACCCGTCCTCCTCCTCCTCCTCCTCCTCCTCCTCCACAATTACACAATATGAATACTACTCTCCCACTTCCCCTGATGGCGTCCGGAAGATGTTCGGCACCCCCCCGCGTACTGTTTTTTTACACACAGGATTCCCCGGAGTTGGGTTTTCGCTTGTGTTTTTTTCTAAAATGCTGCTCTCGCTGAGGCGCTGGCCTAATTTTCGGGCTCCCGCTCCTTCCGAATCGTGTTCCCGCTGCAGCGCTGGCCTCATTTCCGCGCTCCCGCTCGTTCCGAATCGTGCTCCCGCTGCAGCGCTGGCCCAATTTCTGCGCCTCTCGTTGTTCCAAAACGTGCTCCCGCTGCAGCGCCGACGTTTTCGATCCTTTTTAAGAAGCCCCAAATCTAGAAAATGATCCCCGGCAAAAACATTGGAGGTGATTACACATCCGGTGTCGATTCGTTGATTTTTGGGGCCGCAGAAAGCCCCCCCCCCTTTTGGGCGGCGTCCTTTTCCGCACAGGATTCCCGGGAGTTTGGTTTTCATCTATGTTTTTGAAAATCCGAGTCTTTCCGGTCCTTCAGAATGTTGCTCCCGCTGCAGAATGCTACTCTCCTTTCATCGGACCCACTCTACCATTACCCAATATGAATGCTACTCTCCTTTCACCCCTGCAGAAATTTGAGATCCGGGTGGGGGACGCGCGTAACGGCAGCGGGCAGCTGGCGCGGGTGCCGCTCCGGCGCGGTCGCGTCGTCGTCGTCGTCTTCGTCGCCGGTCGTCCTCATCGTCGTCGTCGTCGTCGTCGCCGCCGTCGTCGTCGTCGTCGTGGTTATCGTCGTCGTCGTCGTCGTCGTCTTCGTCGTCGTCGTCTTCGTTTTCATCGCGCCGTCGTCCTCCTCCTTTCCCTCTTAGGTAACAGGGTCAGATGCGAAGCCCGATTCGGTCAGAGGACAATGAAGTAGCTCAATGGGAAGGGATGGGAGGGAGGGGTAGGATGTCAGATGTTGACGCGAGCGCACCTAGCTTTTCCCCCCTCCCCCTCCCTCCTCCCTCCTCCCTCCTCCTCCTCCTCCTCCCTCCTCCTCCCTCCTCCTCCTCCTCCTCCTTCCTCCTCCTCCTCCTCCTCCTCCTCCTCCTCCTCCTCCCTCCTCCTCCTCCATCTCCTCCTCCCGCTCCCCCTCCACCTCCTCCTCCTCGCCCTCCCCTTCTCGGGTCGCCTACGGCCCCGGGGTAACGGTCCACAATGGAGTGGAAGCATGTTGCCAAAGTATTCCCAGAGGTTTACACATGAGTAGAAACATGTATTTAGCATGTAAAAGAGATGTTGGACATGTTTAAGAACGTGTGTAAAAAACAATTCAGACCACATTTTGTATTCGATGATCGAATTGTTAGGGTGTCCGTTGTCATGGTATCCACAACGCTCGCTGCCCTCGCGTCGTCGCTGTCGGCCCGCGCACAGACCCAGATGTTCGGTGGTCTGGTCTTGTTCGTTGTCGGCCCGCTGGTCCCAGCGATGTCTCGACGCTGTCCTTCGGGGGCAAGCACTGTCGGACCGAGGTATAAGATCGAGGTCGGTTCGGGGAGGGTACCCGAACATTCTTCGTGTCTGTTGGGTGTTCTTTTGCATCCTGTGGGAGGGCACCCTCGAAGGTTTCTCAGTTTGGGCCGGCGGAGGCTCTCCTGTTCTTGAAGGATGTTCACCTGGCCCAGGTCCGACCGTACCCGCCCCGCGCCCTCTTTCTCTGGCCTTGGAGTCTGAGGGAGCCCGATCTTCGATCGCCAGAGGAGCCATGGAGCCTTGGAACGGCGCCAGTGGCTCGGACGCGGCCGCCATCGAGCCCTCTGCGGTGTCGAAGAGCCGCGACCGGCCAGGGCATATCGGCCCGCGTCGTGCGAGAGAAGCCGGCGGCGTCGCGACGCAGACTTGCCGCCGCGAGGCGCAGCCGCCATTCAAACAGTGGCGAAGCGTCCGGGCTCGCCTGTAGCCCTACCAAACAATGCTCTAAGAACCTTCTGTGGTTTCCACGAAATGTTCTTAGAACATTTCTTGCGGAGTCTGTCTTGTTTGTATCACATCGGGTTTATGTTCTAAGAACATCGTTTTTGCTTTGCACTCTTGGGTTTGAAGGACATTTCGTGGTAGGACTATAGGAATGCCGGGACGGTCGGTCCCTGCTCAAGCCATTGGCAGTTGGCGTGCCACGGGGCCTCGGGCTTCGGGGAGGGCTCCGCGGGAGAGGCGGGGCGCTGGGCGCCCTTCCGTGCGCCAGGAAGAGGGAGCAACAACAAAGGCACCCAGGGAAATATGGGGAAGCAAAAGATCGGCGACTCCCAGGAAAATATAAGAACATATGGGACAGCACACATAATTTACTGGCGACTCCCAGCCGAGAAAGCATGGGAAAGTATAGGGGGATCCTGGGATGTGTGTGTATGTGTTTGTTTGTCCCTGGGCCCCTCCATGTAATTCGACGACGACCGAGACGACCACGGCGGCGGGCCAGAGGCGCTCCAGCAGGGCTTCCTCGTGGCCGAGCAGACGCTGCAGGCGCGGTCGGGTGGAGTGCCGACGCAGCGGACCGCAGTTCAGAGGAGGAAAAGGTACCCACATCTCTACCCTCCCTTCGTTTTCCACTTCTCGGGCCTCCTGGGAGGACCTCGTCGCCACCGCTGGATTCGCTTCGAGATCCTGGTCAGGACGCACCCTGGGAGAGGTCCGTGGAGTGGCGGCATCGGTGCCTTTTGGTCCCCCGAGCAGTCAAGGCTGTTGAATTGCATTGGGCGCTCGGGCGCCCATTGAGAATTCTGCTCATGCCCTGAGACTGAATCGTGGGGTGCCTTCGGTAGCAGATCATGGGAGCCTGGCATACCCTCTTGGTTCCGTCTTTCGCGTCGATTGGCGTCTGGGGTCGATGAGGTAGCGCCGATGTTGCATCGGTTAGCGTCGAGGTAGCGTCGATCAGCGTCGATCTGGCGTCGATCAACGTCGATTCGCAAGAGCCAATAAGATGCTATGGGAGGCCACCATGAGTTGCCACCGAATGGGGCTCCTGTGGCTTGCTAGGTTACCTGGCCCCTCGTGGAGCCTTCCGTGCCCCGCTAATTTGTGCCAACTGGCGATTCCCATGCAAATCCCAGGGCGTCCTGAGATGTTCTCTGGCGTTCGAGGGTTGCTTGCTTGCGGGTTCCTTGGGGATGTTGGTGCTCCTCCTCCCCCTCCTTCCCTCCTTCCCCCTCCTCCTCCTCCGTTCCTGCGTTTGGCGTTTGGAACAATAGCGCATTGGGGTGCCACCTATGTGGTGCTGGGCATCCTCCGCCAGAGGCGGTGTGTCTTCCATGCGCGTCACGTGTCGTGTATGGGGCAAGGAAGCGTCTTGTGTTACATAGGGTTGGCCCGCGGGCCTTGCGGACGTTGAGGGCGAGAGGGTTTCGGCTAGGGCTGTGGCATGAGGGTTTGAGCTAGCCAACACGTGCCGCCTTTGAACCCGTCCGGTGGCACGGTTGTTTGCGAGTTAGTTGCAGGTTTGAATGTCCCATGCAGTGTTGAGATTCAGGGCTTCTTGTTTGCGCTGAAAAGTAGTTGGGTGGGTTTGCCGAGGTTGCGCCGCGTTGCCATCCGTGCCGCCTCGTGGGCGCCTTGTGGCCTTGCCGAGCTTGCGCCATCGTTGCCGCCCGTGTCGCCACGCTGGCGCCTCTGAACTCGTGTTGTGTAGGTTTCGTTTGCTGGCCGAGTTATGGCGGTTTCGTTGGCTGGCCGATTTCGGTTGGATGCGCCGCCTGGTTGTGTTGTCTGGTCGAGGTAGATTGTTTATGAAACGGTGGGGTTAACACGGTGCCCCCGATAATGAAGCATCCCCCAATTCAGGCCTGAGAATCGATCATCTTGGGCCACGACAGAGATGGTCGGTGGAGGGGCGGCGAGGCCGACCTTCATTTCCGCCAGAGGGATGCACGAATCGAAGTTGCTATCTTCTTATCTGGAGTAGCGTATTATATATCCTACATCCTACTGCTTACTACGATTACGGATTACGATCACGACGACGACAAGTCCTGATATTGTCGTTGTTGTTGCTACTGCTGCTGCTGTTGCTACTACTACTTCTACTACCTGTATTACCATCACTACTACTACTACTACTACTACTACTACTACTACTACTACTACTATTGCTACTACTACTACTACTACTACTACTACTACTACTACTACTATTACTGCTACTACTAATAGTCCCACGGTTACTACAATTACTACGACCACTACTACGACTACTGCTACCACTATTTCTTCCACTGCTACCACTACTACTACTACTACTACTACTACTACTACTACTACGACTACGACTACTACTACTACTACTACTACTACGGCTACTACTACATATACCACTACTACGACTACTACTACTACTACTACTACTACTACTACTACTACTACTACTACTACTACTACTACTACTACTACTACTACTACTACTACTACTACTACTACTACTACTACTACTACTACTACTACTACTACTACTACTACTACTACTACTACTACTACTACTACTACTACTACTACTACTACTACTACTACTACTAATACTAATACTACGACTACGACTACTACCACTACTACTACTACTACTACTACTATTACTACTACTATTACTCCTACTACTGCTACTACTATTACTACTACTACTACTACTACTACTGCTACTACTACTACTACTACGACTACTACCACTACGACTACTACTGCGACTACTACCGCTGCTAATGCTACCACCAATGCATATTACGATTCCCACTGGTACTATTGGTGCTACTACTATTACTACTACTACTACTGCTACTCCTACTGCTACTACTACGGCTACTACTACGACGACTACAACTACTACTTCTACTACTGTTGCTGCTACTACCGCTCGTACTACTACCGCTACTACAACCATTCTTATTACTGTTACGACTACTATTACTACTCTTACGGCTACGTTTACGATCAA